CTAAACCAGAACTAAACAAGGACTCACTCAGGACTTAACCAGAATGAACTAGGACGAGATCAGATTAAACCAGGACTATAACAAGACTAAACAAGGACTACAACAGGACTAAACCAGAAAATGAACCAGGACTAGACCAGACTAAACAAGGACTATAACAAGTAATTAAGTTTTTATTTATATCGCGCTTTTCACAGACATATGTCACAAAGACACTTTACAGAACATTATTCAGTCACTCCACACAATGGTGGTGGTAAACTACTATTGTAGCCACAGCTGCCCTGGGACAGACTGACTGAAGACAGACTGTCCCAGGCTGTCAACAACAAGAACAGGCTTTAACAACAAGATTAATAGAATATAGAATAATGTTTGAAATAAAACTAACCTTGCATCTCATGAATCGTCACAAGTTGTGGGACTATTTTCTCACATATCAGTCCGCCGCTGCCAAAATACAACTCACTGCTGCTGCTCAGACATAAATCCTTCAAATACAAGGTTGGTTTTACTTCGAAAATTATTCTATCGACGCAGACATTCACACGGACAGTCTGGTGTTATAATAGATTTGTTTTGGGTGTTTTGTGGAGTGGGTAAGACTGTTTTTATTGTCAGGATAACTATGGCCATTGACATGCACTAGTCTAGCACCAGCGACCTCTGCAAATACAAGGACTGGATGGAATATAGAGATGTCCTGATCACACTTTTTTGCCCCCGAGTCCGAGTCATTTCATTTTGAGTATGTGCCGATACCGAGTCCCGATCCGATTCTTCTAGAAAAATTATGAAATGAACTAATACAAAGAATAAGATCCAGGATGTGTGCGGGATCAGATTGTGTTGATTTCATGTTTAGTATTTGGGCTGAACTTAGTGTGAAAAATCAAATGTCCAAAACTTTAATTTTTTTATTAACTTTTCTAACCATGAACCATCATCGTTGAAAATCTTGACTTTTACCACAGTCTGGTTTTGGAATGTGTAACTTAGTAAACTTAATGAACTGGACAAAACAGGAACCAGACCAGAAGCAGATCAGACCTGAGACTCGACTCTGCACGATCTACACTTTGTATATTTGATATTATATGTTTGCATGTGCATTGTGTTTTAAACATTTAGGCTCGTCTATGAAATCCAAATAATACAAAATCTTATCCAATAAAAACAAGATGACAGAAGCTCCACAGCCCCACTCAACCGCACCGCCACCACAGCCACAAACCCACAAACCCACCGTGGATTGCACACCGCAAGACTGGTCCCACCGCTCAATAGAAACTCCACGTCACTGTTCCCACCCTCCCCACCAAAAGCACCGGCTCCGTTGTGCAATATGCAAACAAACAGCGCCGTGCGATGCCATCGGTCACGCAGGTGTGAACATGGACACACACAACAACCCCAACCCCAGGTAACAGCGCCCGAGCACGGCCCAAAAGTCCCAGTGTGAGTGCACCGCTAGATCAAGATAAACCAAAACTATAATAGGATTAAACCTGGACTAAACTAGGATTAAACCAGAACTATAACCAGATTAAACCAGGACTAATCTAGGACTAAACCAGATATTAAACC